ATTGTTCTTTTGGGAGATCGCATTGTGAATGGTGGGGTAGATGCAAGAATATTCAATAGATAAAAGCATCAGCATAATTGTTTAAGAGAGTAGGAGAGATGCGTATTTTTGTGGATTAAAAAGCATACCGAATCTCCAAGGGTTCGATTCCAATTTGTACGGCCCGATTTGGTTGATATTTGTTAATTAAAAAAAATATCAATTGGACTCTGCATCTCCTTCCAATTTGTATGGTCCAAATTAGGTGATTCTAAAGTTAGATTGGGCTGTATTTAATTGAAAAAATAGAGAAAAAAAAAATAGAAAACTAAGGGATCGAGAAATTCCAAGGTTTTTCAACCTGGAATCATTAACTTCTCGATCCGGTCAAACTCAAGCGATTCCCAAGTCCGTTATGCGGACTATGAATCACTAACTGATAATATTGTGCCAAAAATGTTTTTTCCTTTAGGAATTTAACTTAAAATATAGTGCTGCAGCCTCTGCTTGATTCCTGCTCGTAGAGGGCCTGAACCTAAATATTGATAGCTTAGGTTTGAAAGAGGGTGTTAAATGCCTACCCTTATTTGAGCACAGGAAAGAGACTCCTCAACGGTCCTTTTTCAAATGTGACTGTTCAAAAGTTGCCAGGATGCTATTTGAATTCCATATGCTATCATAGGGGAGCGTGTATACTATGCAACAACTCCCTCGGGCAAAAAAGTGAACTGGAATGAATTTTTTGATCCGATATTTTAGTGATCCATGTAAGTATCACTAGATGATTATTTTCAAGAAAAAAAAATGGATCCTAAGTTCTTGAACACATAAATCTTGGGATCTAAAAATTGGAAGGTTCTTGTACAATCTAGGGACATTACCTTTTTTCTAAGGAACATAGAGAGTCCTACTTAATATTTATCTTTGAGGCTGTTTATTAGGTTCAAGAGGACACATCCCTAAAATTTGGGGCCCAAGATGAGTTTTAACCGAGTGACTAAATGCACAATATCCTCCTGCATGAACAATAAATCTTTTCGCGTCATAGCATACTTTTCTACCAGTGAAGCTTGTCCTTATGTATTTGTAGTAAAATTGTTCATTTGACATTTAAAGTTTAATTGTTCCGGACAGTTATATTAGGCAAAGATCCTCCAAAATGTTATTTCTAGAAAACATTTCACATAAACCAAACGTGTTAATTAGTCGAAGAGCATTTTTCCTCCAAAGATATTAATTTAGTTCAGAAAATTATACGCTCAAAACTATTTACCTTCATTACCTTTAATATAAGGAGTTCACAGTTAATTTTGGATATTTGATATTGGATGTAAGACCGCTCCAAAAGAGTGCTTTTCGAACTTTATAACACACAGTATGTAGTTAAATTTCATTTGGAACAACTAGGTGTTATTGTGACCTCTTTATACCCAAAGTAAATAATCATATACTATAATCCATATTTCAAACTCAAATAGGTAGTTGTAGTAGCACTAGCAGTAAGGACTCAGCTACAGTAGAGTACACATTACATTGCATAGGATATGTATTTGAATGCACATTAAAAAAAGAGTAATGACACTACGAGACCTTCCCACAAGTAGGACCCCAAAAGATTATCATTAAATTTTGATACAGATCTTCAAAAAAGTTATGACATGGGTGTGGGACTTGGATGAATGAGTTTATTGATAA